GGGGGGGCAGATGATCCACCAAGAGCCCCCCAGTCCAGCCCCTCTGCAGGGATGCTCACCTCGGGGTGCTGGTGGCCTCGGGGGACCCGGCTCAGCTTAAGACTCATCACAGACTGACACGAAGGACAAGAAGGGGAGGAGGAGGAGGAGGAGAAGAAGAAGAAGAAGAAGAATCCGAGAGCTGCGACTTTTTTTTTTGTTCTCTTTATTCTAATTCAGCCTAGGACGTTAGTAATGGTGGTTTCAGGGGGTGGCTGGGCCTGGGAGTTCCTTCTGGTAGTGAAAATCAGAGACTGGAAAGAGGAACAGAGCTTATCAAGACAGCTTGGAATGGCCAGCAACCAAACCCCAAAGCCCTGCAGGGAATGTCTGGCACCTGGGAAGTGCCCTGGGCAGGATGTGGCTGGGGGGTCTCTCTGTTTGGATGGTCTATTTTGCTTTGGCCCCCCCCAAAAAAATGAGCTGCTGCTGCCTTCACCTCTTGGAGACAAACCCTCCCCCTCCCCCCAGAGGAAAGGACAAGTCAAGTCCAAGGTGCCTCTCCCTTGGTTTTGGCAGAGCATGTATCTCTAGGTATAATATATATTTATTTAATGCATAGCGAGTCTCTTTTGTTTAATAGCTCTTTTGAAATGATTAGGTTTTTATTTGTTTTGGTGGTGGTGTTTGTTTTTTTTGTTGTTGTTGTTATTTCCCCCCAGTTGCAAACCTGAGCTGGGTCCCTGCTTTCCTGTGCAGTGTTCCTTCCTGGGGGGCTGGCCCTGGGGGCTGGGGGTGGTGTCAGCAGGCGATCTCCTCCAGGGTCCCCAGGGTGGCCTGCAGTGGCACGGTCACAGTGTGGCTGATGGTTTCTGAATGGTTTGGCAGGGGGTCACAAGTGCTCTGGGGATGGAGAACAAGGGGGACAGGGTTGATTTCCTCCTCCAGGTGCTCCCTGGCCCTCCCTCCCCAGGGGTTCCCACTGAGAATCATTCAAACGCTGGGGCCAGGGGACAGAAGGAAAAGGGGGGGGAAATAAAGGGTGTTTGGGGTATCTTGAGGTTGTCTCTGCCCTGGCTGGGGAGGAGGCACCATGGGGAGAGGGGACTTGCAGGGATCTACTGGGAAGACCCATGGGATGCTGGGCTGTGCCCAACTGGGGGCTTCAGGGAGGACAAACCCCATGGGCTTTGCTGCACAACCCTCATGGCTCAACTGCTCCTCCAGCAAAGGCACCCGTGGGGGCTGTGGGACCTTCCCTGGGGTGTCCAGGAGGCAGAAGGGGGGAAAAAAGGGTGTTTAGGGCAAAGGGTTGGTTGGGGGGGGATGAGCCTCTGCCCAAGGCCCACAGTGCCCTGGGGAGGGGGGACATGCAAGGGGGGCTTGTGTCCAAGAGGCTTCCTC